AAAACACAGTTTGGTGAAAGCGGATCTGTCTTTTGGAGAATTAAAAAGTAGATGGTTCCCTTGGGACTCAGAAAAACTTGTCCTGGGGAAATATAAAGAATTTCTCTAAATCTAGAAATACATTCTTGGTGTTCCACTTTCTTACACGTATATTTTTATTCTTTTTGACAATAGTTTATCTACTGAGATACACATTTTATAAAATTATTTTATAGAATGAGTCAAAAGTGTGTTTGCCGTTTGAAACAATCTCATTCATATTTTGTTCCAAAGTCTATTAGCGTACAGACATATTCCAGAGTTAACATTTGAGATTGGGAATGTGACCATTTTAAATGCCACTCCTTGAATTTCATCACACCCTTATTGCCAAAGGAGAACTCCCTAAAATGAAAAGATTGTATCTTCCTTATCCATAGAAGAATGTGACTATAAATAGGATTTGAAAGGATGTCAGAACAAAAGAAAAGAACAGAGGGAAAGAAGAAAAGATAAAATACAATCATAAATGGAAAACTTTCTCCTTCCTAAATTATTATTGGTGATTCCAATTTGAAAGCAGTAATGAGACAGGAGTAAGTAGAGGATAACTAAATGCACTCAAGGTTAACTTAGAGCACATCTAGGACGACTCAGGGGTATACTTCTTACTGACCTGTGAGCTACCTGTGCCAGCCACCCAGTCATCTCCCCTGTTTGATAGACACTTAGATAGGTGGCCTTGTTAATACTATATCACAGAGAGCTGCAGCAGGTTTCTGGAGTCCCCTAATGAGCAAAGTTCATAGCAATGTTGGAAAAGAGAATATTGGCGCAGAGAATTCCTTTACTCAGGACCAGTAAATGCACTTCCCAGGAGTCTCCAAACAAGCACATAAAAGGGCTTGAAATTCTTCTCCCATGGATGGAAAGTGCAGTGTACTACAGATGCTTCAAATATTCCTTTTCTTAAAAGGAACTGCCATCAGAAGCCCACTGATATCTCTCGGTTATAGACACTCTGAGCACTCAACAGGCAGAATGGTAAAACAGGAAGAGAAAATATAGTTGAAGGACTTTTTTCAAAAAAGAAGTAGTATCAAAGGTCTCAATGCAAATGGCACCCATCGAGCATAACAAAATCATATAACTCCGAATAGTAGTTTAAAAATAGCCAACTTATAATTGATAAATAATTTCTGGCTCTATAAGTATTAGAGAAGTGATTCAATCTGAAAATTTTGACGTTCTTACTGACAGAAATCATTTTCTTGGAGTCTTTCTCTTTTCACTTATTTTGCCCCTACCTTTACTGTATCTTCTTAGTTTGTTTCTCTATGCCCCTCTAGGCAAGCCACTGAATCCTAAATCGACCTTGTTTTTCATCCATCACCAAAGAGTACAACCTTATCCAAAAAATTGCTGTATTAACCTGAGTTAGAATGAAAGCCAATGGGAGCTGGAAGAAATGTGATACAGAGCCGCTGGGAATTGTGGCCTGATATGATATGATAGATTTCCTTGTCAGCTTTAGTTTCTGGGATTTCAGGAGATTCATCACAACTGAGTAATTTGTGCTTGTCACATTCAGCAAGCAAGGATGACAGATAACTCAGTCCAGAGAGAAACTAGAGGCAGCATTTCAGAATTTAACCAAGAGGACAATATCTACTCAAAGCTAAGAGATAATGTAAAATAAACTCTCTTTGGTGATTGATTACCTTCAAGTTAGATTTCGTCTACACTTTCAATAACACTTGGATGTACATTATGCAATCTCATTAGCTGAGACTTAACTTTTAAGTTGGAATTTGTAAAATTTAGGGAAGAATACAATCTCAATTTACCTTAAGTGGTAAGATAAATATTTAATCAAGTAAATGAGCAGAACTGGCAAATTGGGAGAGAAATATGTGAATGGGTGGAAGAATTATAATCTGTAAATTAAATATGGTCAAATTTTTCATTGTTTCAACATTTAACATTTATTGAGCATTGCCACCTAAAATATTTTAATGGTTTATTTAGAACTGTGATCACTTGAAAAATAACATAAAGGAATTTTCATATATATATATCTTTGTATAAGGTAAGTCCTTTTTATTAATCAAAATTACAAATATATACCTAAAATCATGTCTCTGTGCCTATACTCAAAACATTAAAAACCTCAGTTTAAAATACATGGTCCAAGCAAAGTCAAATGTTTCTATCTTTAAAAGCACGATGTCCAAGACTTATAGAATGATATATTAATGCCATGCAAGATGATTTTCAGACATCTTATCTGATACTAAAACCTTAAACCTAAAGAAAAGCAATTAACATGGCTAATTCTATTAAGCAAATAAACAGCAACACCCCATTCTTTATCAGATACCTTACCTTCTTTGGTGGGAAACCTTCCCATCTTCTTGACCTCATGGTTAGGTCTCTGGGGCAGGAATGTAGTTAAAATAAATATTTTGATTAAATGACTGGTAGAAAGAAGTATGATTTATTTGGAGCTAGGGTATGAAAATAAGGTAATACTAATTATAATTAATGCAGATTCTCCCAAGTGACAAAAAGCAGACCTGTTAGGTCTTAATTATCAGGAGCAATCATCTTCCATCCTGTAGCACTGAATTTAAAGAAACGATCATCAAGAAACATGTAATGATTATTTTCTCAATCTCATGGTCAATTGCCCAAACATATCCCAGATCAATCTCATGGAGTAAATTCTTTCCTAAGGCTGCACTGTGGCCTAGTCTGTATTTGAACTTTGGGTCACGTTTCCGAGTAAATCCACAAGGCTTTAGAGAGGCAAACGCAGCCTGTTAAATTGGCATGGAGGCACCTTAATCTCAAAGGATCTTTGGAGCTGGAAGGTGCAATGGTTTGTCTACACTGTCAGCTTTACTAGATGGGAGATGCCTAGAAGATTAGCAGACACGTCTGGGTGTGCCTAGGAAGGCATTTTCAAAGATGGTTAGGTTCAGGAGGGATTGAGCTAATCAATGATTTAACCCACTGATTGATTCAAAATTTGAATACACTAATATAATATAAAGTTCTACTGTGGTATAACTTTGGAAGATAGGACTACTTGGAGAAAGTGGATCTAGGGGGGTCTTTCAAGAATATTTCTTAACCTTGATCCTCTCTCTCTCTCTTTCTCTCCTGCCTCTATCTCAATCTGTTTTGATTCCCATGAAGTAAGCAACTTGCTCCGTCATACCACTCTTGGCCCCATGACATTCTTCCTCACCACAGACAGACACACATCAATGGAGTCAACCAACTCTTGAAATAATGACTCAAGCCTCTGAAACCATGCTCCAAACAAAGCATTCTTTCCTCTCTTATATTGTTTTTCTCAAGTATTTGTTACAGTGAAGGAAAGTCTGACAACAGAGAAGGGTTTGTGGGTCATATTTGACTAAAGAAAGACTTTGGAGATAGTTGGCCTATTTCATCATTGTGTAGTGTGATGATCTAGTAGACTTGTTTTGCTCTGGGGATGTTTTCTAATTCTGCATTAGCTGTTTGGAAACAATAGTGAAGACATTCCAACTTTCAAGTTACAGCTCTAAACTGGAGAAACCAGTACCTTGTTTGTACTCAACTGTCAATTATTTATGAATGTAGGGGAGTAGTGGTGTCTTCAGTAATAAAATGATAATTTATGTATTTGGAAAGTTTCCTTTTGTGTTTGGCAACATCAACACTTATTTTGTTAATTATGTTTAACCCCAATTAGTATCACTATTAGCATTTTCTGAGCATTCACACACAAACACACATGACTCATCAGTTGATGGTCGGTAGAATGCCCAGAAACATTGTGGGAGAGAAAAAGGTGCTCTGAGATTATGGGTTAAAAAAAAAAAACCCATTTGGACTGTCAATTCACACATTAATAATCTGGATCAATAAAGAGTTGTCTCAATTTTTACCAAGTTTTTCCAAAACCAAATAATCACATCCAGAAAATACATGTAATGTCAACTAAGTCTATCAGCACCCACAATATTGTCTCCTAACTAGGATTATCTAGTTTGACTAGACTGACCATTATAATCACAAAGGCTCAGTAGCTATGTGCATATGATCATATAAAAGGATGCTTATCAACATGAACTCCAGAAAATGGAAACAAGCGGTTTTTTTTAAATTTTATGTTTTGCGGTTCTTTTCTTCTTCTTCTTCTTTCTGTTTTTCCCCTTTTGTTTCTGTTTTTAAGTTCTATAAGTTTATCTGATTTGGGGAGGGGAAAGGGAAGCACAGAGATGACAGAAATGGTGGGACAAAGAATGAACCAATTCGGGCTGGGAAGGTGGCTCAGTGGTAGAGCACTTGCTTTGCATGCCTGAGGCCCTGGGTTCCATTCCTCAGCACCACATAAGCAAGAAGAAAAAAGCCGGAAGTGGCGCTGTGGCTCAAGTGGTAGAGCGCTAGCCTTGAGCTGAAGAGCTGAGGGACAGCGCCCAGGCCCAGAGTTCAGGCCCCACGACCGGACTCCCCGCCCCCCCCCCCCAAAAAAAAAGAATGAACCAATTCATCAGTGATACTCACTAGATACCAGGTTGGCAATGAACTGTACAACTTTGGGAGGTTTGGGAGGGGGAAAAAAATGGGAGGAAATGAGGGAGGGGGTAACACTGTTCAAGAAGAAATGTATGCAGTATCTGACTTATGTAACTGTAACCCCTCTGTACATCACCTTTCCCATGCAAAAACATTTTTAAAAGACCATGGTATACATCTCTCTCTATCTTTTTGGCTGCCTGCTACCCAGACTTTGCTGAGTGCTCTCCCAGTCTTGGAGATAGAGAATTCCGCAGATTTCCAGTAAACATGCTTCCAGACTCCTCCTGCTCTTCTTCCTCCTCCTCCTCCCTCCTCCTGAATGGTTCTGACCCTCCCTGTTTAGACTGGGTCTAGTCTCCCTTTTTGCCTCAGGACAGGACCTCTGCCTCCTCCCCCCCACACACCCCTTCACTCCCCGGATCTCACCCTCAACCAGAGGCGCTCACCTAGCTTCTCTTCGGCTTGGCTGCTTTCCGCAGTCTCCGTTGGAGGCTGGGCTGTCGCCTTGGCGGCAGCTTCCTCTGCAGCAGGGGTGGTGGCAGCAGCAGGCACATCGGCTTGTTTTGGCTCCTCCTTGGCTGGGGCATCTTCGGCCTTGGAGGACGGCGAGTTGTCAGTGGAAGCTTTAGTGGCACTTTCTGTCTCCGCAGAGCCAGCCTTCTTCTCCTCGGAGGGCGCAGCATCCTGCAGGGCCACCTGCTCGGGAGCAGCGTCGGAGGTGTCTTCTCCCTTCTTCTCCTCCGAAGCGGCGTCTCCTGCCTTGCCGGTGTCATCGGGCTTGGAGCCGGTGGCCGGGGTCCCATCAGTGGTGGCTGTGCCTTCTCCCTCTTTCTTCTCCACGCCATCAGCCACGGGGGTGTCTTCCTTCTTCTCCTTCGCTTCGGCCTCAGCAGCATCTCCCTTCTTCTCGCCTTTGAGCTTTTTCCTTGTTATGTGTCCACGGAAGCTAGCCTGGATTTTGGTGGCGGCCTTATGAGCTTTGTCTTCGGGTTTGATGCCATCTTGTTCAATCTTTTGGTCCTCATCATTTTTTTCAACCTTTGTGGAGGAAAAGACAAGAGAAGGAGAGCTCAAAGGGCTGTTTGACAGAGCTGCGTATTGGACAGCCATGTAATTTGTCATGTACCCGGCGCCCTAGTTGGGAGTTTGGGCTCCACAGCGCTTTAGGAATTCAAGTTAAGGCTGTGGGACCCTCTCAAGTCCTTCCCGAATTTGTGGCATTATTTTCTATGTATTTCCACTTTGCCCAGCTCAAGGTTGCTCTACTACCAAACTTCAATTAGCATTTACTTCCAGCTTTGTCATGACAGTTCAAATCACATTCACTCTGTTTTTTTGTTTTTTGTTTTTTGAGTTTTTTTTTTTTTTTTTTTTTTTTTTGATTGTGGGGCTTGAACTCTGGGCCTGGGCGCTGTTCCTCAGCTCTTCAGCTCAAGGCTAGTGCTCTACCACTTGAGCAACAGCGCTACTTCTGGCTTTTTCTGCTTATGTGGTGCTGAGGAATGGAACCCAGGGCCTCTTGCATTCAAGGCATGCGCTCTACCACTGAGCCACCTTCCCAGCCCCACTCTAAGTTTTAATCGAAGAGTTCTGAAAAATACTTGGGTTTGAGGGATTTCAGAGAGTTTGTAAAATTTTATGTTTTTTGAAAACATTATGCAAGCCCGGCACCTTTGGTCATGCCTGTAATCCTTGCTACTTAGAAGGCAGAAATCTGAGGACTGAGGGTTGAAGCCAACCAGGGCAGGAAAGTGCATAAAAGTCTTATCAATTAATAACTAAAAACAGCCAGAAGTTGAGGTGAAGTGAGGCTCAAATGGTAGGATACCATCTTCAAACCCACCCCCGGGGGGCTGGGAAGGTAGCTCAGTGGTAGAGCGCTTGCCTTGCACGCCTGAGGCGTTCGATTCCTCAGCACCACATAAGCAGAAAAAGAAAGTGGCAGAAGTAGCGCTGTGGCTCAAGTGGTAGAGCGCTAGCCTTGAGCTGAAGAGCTGAGGGACAGTGCCCAGGCCCAAAGTTCAGGCCCCACGACTGGACCCAAAAAAAAAAACCCAAAAACAAACTCTAGTACCACCAAACCCACCCCCCCCCCAAAAAAAAACCCTAAGGAACAATGGCCAGGACCTGAGGTCAAGCCCCAGTACTGGGACCATAAAAATTAATTAATTAATTAGCTAATTAATTAACTAAAATTCACTATGCGAGTCTACCTCACACACACATTTTCAAGCTTGACTAAGAAATTAATATTTTCAAGTTATAAGTATGGTAATGGTATATACAACAAATCCTATCAAGATTTTATGCAAAAACATGAATAAATCTGAGAGCTTTGTAAAGACTATGACAATTCAGAATGCTAGTCACAAAATGATGTCTAACTTTCTCCAATGTGTGATCAAATGGCAGTAATAGACACCCCACTTTCAAAATTTGAATGCAGAAAATAGTCATTAGAGTTTTTTGAAACTGAGAAGTGTTTCATCAAAATAATAAAACATTTCACTGTCACAAATTCTTATTCCCAAAGCAATTTAAAATTCAAACTAGTTTTGTATTATCATCACAAAAGTTTTAGCTTTTAATGATATCTGTAGGCTTAAAAGTGCTACAAATGATCTTTTTTCCCCACTTGGAAATTAAATCAGAGGATGGGGAGAAAAGATACAGTCATGGGAAAACATGTATAAAAAGTACACAAAATTCTACACAGTTCCATTGCTCACCATGCTGCCCTCCTAACCACTGAGAGTCTCCATTTTTTCCTTAGCTTTCCTTTAGCTTGTGCTTGATTTATGAGCCTTGTTTGTTCTAGACATTGTGGAAAAAAACAGTATTTTCCCTCAAAACTTTCCCCAAAATATTATTAAATTAATGAGTGTGTGTGTGTGTGTGTGTGTGTGTGTGTGTGTGTGTGTGTGTGTACTGAGCATTGCCTTATGCCTGATCCCTGTCTGGCTTTGAGCTTGACCTTGGCCTTCATTCCAATTTTGAAAGTAAACTACAGCAGCCAACATACAGTATGTTTTCCACCTGTCATACCAGCTCTGCCCCAGTGACCCAGATCCTGCCAATCATTAGCTAGTCTCATTTGACATTCTTTGGACAAGCACACAGACCTGTCATTGCTCAGCTCCATCAGCATACTAAAGGACAGATAATTTTTTTTTTTTTACTATAAGATTCATGTGAAAGTAGGAGGAGAATTGGCATTTTTTTTTTCAGTAAAATTCAAGAGGGCTTTCCCCTCCTAAAATTAGCCATCGGTGTATTCCTACAAAGAAGAAAGGAGTGATTATGAGCGAGGAGAGAGGCCCATCATGCTCCCTCCTCCCAGTGCCATGTTGCAACTGCTTGTCTCTCTGCTGCACCACCACTTTCCTGCCATCCTGCTGCTCATGATGACTCCTACTGGGATGCACACAGCACAATCTGGGGCACAGGAGCAGCTGTCCCTGCCAGGAACTCTCTGATCAGAGATTGAATCATAACCCTGTAAAATTAACAGTTGTGAATGGAGCAGAGAGCCAAGATGTTATTTTACTCAGTCTTAAGTTTTCTGAATGAGGCGCTGTCTTACATGATAGGGCATCTGCACATGGGTACTAACGTCAAGTAGTTCTTTAATACATAATCTGATCGTTGTAAAAGTGAGCAAGCCGATTATTTCAGAGGAAACAGATTGCATAAAAGAATATCTACTAGGTGAACAAAGCTACAGTTTTAAAGTCTTCCCTGTTCCTTTTTTAAGGACACAGTATATGGGGGCAAGAATTCTTTAAAAGCTGGACTATACTAGAATAAGAAAGTTGAAGGTCTATTGGATGTGAAGAAAAACTATGTGGACAAAAGTTCTTCCCAATTCCACCCTATTTTTTGTCTCCCTCTTCCTCACACCTTGATTTTCCAAAGAGCAGGATTTCAACTTTGGTACATAGCATCTGTGTTAAAATGACTATCTACAAAGATTCAGATTAGACTCCCATCCCTAAATTGCGGGATCCGCCTCAACTGAACAATCAAAGAGAATAACGAAGAAGGAAGAAGGAAGAAGGAGTTGGCAAGACAGAGAGAACCAGGAAAGAATGGAGTCAGGAGAGAGAAAGAGAATTGAGGTCAATGCCATAAGAGACAGACAGGCACCCAAACAGGTAGATACATTCAAAGAGATACTGTCAGTATCCTCACAGACATACAGCTAGCTCTGGAGGAACTGCTGACCTCTTAGCACCATTAGAGATTCTGAAGATGTTTAGTCTTTCTCCCTCCCCCTCCCCCAATATAGGGATTTGAATTGAGGGCCTTGAACTTGCTAGATAAGCACTCTTGCACTAATTCTCAGATTGCCCAATACAGTGATTGTCCTTTTTGTGCTTCCCCCATGTCATTGAAATGATGAGCCCATGCCACTACCAACCACCACTACCAACCATCACAAAAACAGTCTTACAATTTTTTTGGGGGGGGGGCACAAGGGGTGGCAGTAATACTCCAAATATGATTTCCTGATCTCCATCTCCTAAGTAACTGGATTACATGTTTGAACCTGTATACCAGAAGAGATTAGAGATATTAGTAGCTGGTTGGAGAAAAAAACAATCCACACTGCAAAGATACATTAAATAAGAGGGAAATGACAGAATAGAAAGAAGAAAGGAAGGAGAAAATGGAAAGGAAGAAAGAGAGGAGAAGGAAGCAGAGGAATATAAAAATTTTAAGTGAGACATTGCTGGATTGGGTGTATCTCACTTTTATACTTTTAATTTTATATGCTATTATACTATTAATATGGCTTAAAGTTTATTTTACTTTCTGCAGTATTAGTGTAACTAGACAGTGTTTCTTTTGTTATTAATGTGTATCAATTGTTTAAAAAGGTGGCCTTGGTTCAAATGTACTTTTCTCTCTCAACCAAGTAGATTATATGCATTTCTATACAACTGAAACTTCTATCTGAAATGTCCATAATAGACTCTGATCATATTCATCTTTTCTATTACTCCTGCTTATTTCCATTTTCATATAGAAGTTATATAGAAATGCATATAATCTACTTTGTTGAGAAAGGAAAAATAGAGTAGAAAAATAACACTGCTCCAAACTGGCTGCTAAAGGTGTAGTCCTTAAGGTACTGGACCACTTAGAACTTTTCCTACCTGGAAATAGAAAGCTTACATAAAACAAAGTACATTTGAACCTGGAGAAACCAGAGATCACTCAATCACTCAGTGCATTTAGCACAATGTTTTCAGTTTCTAAAACGAAAACCGTGATAAAATTAAGCAACTTGCTTATATATCCATGGAGTAAGTAAGCCAGTGACCCATTTGAACTCAGATTTCTTCTCCAAGTACATCTGTCTTCCAGATCCATTTTTATTGTATTACGGACCCGGAGTAACATAGTAGATATAATATGTATGTTAAGCGTTGCACACACACACACACACACACACACACACACACACTCAAAGGAAGGAAAAGGTATAATAAGTTCCATGAATACCTAACCTTCAGAATAAAAAAAAAATCTCCCATTTTTCTGGGACACCTCAGTGTATTTAACTTTTTTGAGTTATTTAACCTTCTAAGCAAGGAAAAACGGCTCAGTATCTACTTCTGCCAGCTATAAATAGTACTATTGTAATTCTTCAAAGTTTCTATTTAACAGGACTGATTTCTAAGTATGTTAAAAGTCATTTTATATACCAATTCTTTTTAAAGAACATCTTTAGTAAAGCAGAATCAATTTGATTGATTAAAAGTTTTTTTGAATAGAAATTCTAAGGGCCCTATATATATATCAATGGTTTCTTTAGCATACTATAGTTTTCATGCATATCAAAATCTTACAGAGCCTGAATAAAAAGTTAATGGGTTGTGTTAAATCAGGTAGGATCCCATTTATGGCTTGTTTTCTTTTTATTTCTAATTTATTCAAGTGAAATTCACATAACAAATTTTTACTCTATTTTTTAGCATCACTGGTACTTTTTCAATATACTTTGGAGAAAATATCTAGGTATTTAATTAGTT